GCCAAGTATAAAATTTGGTGGAGGGGGGATTATGGTGTGGGGTTGTTTTTCAGGGGTTGGCCTTGCCCCTTAGTTCCAGTGAAGGGAACTCTTACGGCATCAGCATACCAAGACATTTTGGGCAATTTCATGCTCTAAAGTTTGTGGGAACAGTTTAGGGCTGGCCTTCCTGTTCCAACATGACTGTGCACCAGTGCACAAAGCAAGGTCCATAAAGGCATGGTTTAACAAGTTTGAGGTGGAGGAACTTGATTGGCCTGCACAGAGTCCTGACCTCAACCCGATACAACACCTTTGGGGTGAATTAGAGCAGAGATTGTGAGCCAGGCCTTCTCGTCCAACATCAGTGCCTGACCTCACAAATGCGCTTCTGGAAGAATGATCAAACATTCCCATGGACACTATACTAAACCTTGTGTGGACAGACTTCCTAGAAGAGTTAAAGCTATTATAGCTGCAAAGAGTGGTCCAACTCATAATTGAACCCTACAGACAGACTTGGATGCCATTAAAGTTTGTGTGTGCGTGTAAAGGACGGCGTCCTAATACTTTTGGCAATATAGTGAATGTATGCTGTAGCAGCTGTAGCAATTTAGCCAACTGTGGACCCAGCTGCACAAGATAAATTCTGCATGAAAATCCCAGACTTTTGTAGATAGGTAATGTACCTAGGCATCAGGAAGTGACGGAGCTTTTGATTTTGTATGCTGGCCGGATTACATTTTATGTGATTTATATTTACTGTATGTACATGTGAGTGCAATAATTTTATTAAAGCAGCTTTTTTAGTTAAGATTTACACCATGTGGAACATATTTCTTTCCTTTGAGCACTCATGGCAGGGAAGATATAGATTGGATTAATCTATTGTTGGAACCTTTCCGTCTGGTTGGTTCACCCATGAGGTTTAAAGTGGAAGGCTCTTGTGGAGTTCATGATACACATATGCTCTTTTGACTTATCTAGTTAGAGGGTCAAACTAGTTGGTAAGTGAATACTTATCCTTGGTGGTGGGATCGCCTCGGTTTCTCTTTGGAGTTATTGGTGGATCATTCAGTTTTTTGCCATTCACAGAGATTTGGTTGGTTTATATAGACTATTTTTTATTTAAGGTGGACTCATTTCGATTTATATTTTGTGGGACACTGTTTCTTTTTCTTATTTCTTATTTATTCGATAATTTTATTTTTTCACTTATTCGTGAATATTGTCATTGGATATACAGTATGTATATTTAATTTTATGTGTTATTGATTTATGATTTCACATACACTAGTCTATCTAGTGCAACAGACATATTTATGTTATTCTTAGACTGTGATGTATATCTCATGGTACTGTTACTGCTTCTAAACACTTCTTATTTTTGTTTATTCACTCAGGTGCAGAATTAAGGTTTTTTTTTAGATAGGTAATGTCCTTAGTGAGTTTTTCATTGTATGGTTTTCATATTTGACTAGAGGATAAAAGGCATCACACACAAATAAAGAAAATAACTATTGAGCAAGATTTTTTTTGCGGAGTGCGGTGACTCATTGGATTACTGGTACAGCAGTAGCAGACTGGACACTATTTATTATTTATAATATTGGACTTTTGAGGTGCCCCAAAGAAATGACAAAGTACAAATGTAAAACATGGGGGAATACACACATCTCTTGAAATGTATTCATTCAAGTTTAAAAGCAACAGTTGTACCTTTTAAGCAGATATATATTTCATATGATCCTTTATTCCTCTCCCTTGCAGGGCCCTTGTCTTTCTGTCCCCCTGTGCTTGCAAGTGGGGGTATCTGGTGGTGTGCGGAACTTGCCCAGTAGGTTGTTCCAAACATTTCAGATAACTAACCATCGATCTTCTGTGGATGCAGGCTGCTTAAATCTGTCTGTCTCTAAACATAATCAAAGGCAGACTCCCTCATGTTTTGCATTGTATTGGTATTGTTCTGTCACATGTTCTGTCCCCCTTTGTAATGTACAGCGCTGAGTGAACTATTGGCGCTTTATAAATACAGGGCAGGGCTCTGTGGGGACCAAATCATCATTTCCAGGACTCCTTGATCTTCTTCATGCTAAATTTTTTCTTATGACGTTGGCTGTATGTTTGGGGTCATTGTCCTGCTGCAGAATAAATTTGGAACCAGTCACAGGCCTCCCTGATGGTATGGCATGATGGATATGTATCTGCCTGTATTTCTCAGCATTGAGGACACCATTGATCCTGACCAAATCTCCAACTCCATGTGCAGAAATTCATTGTTGCTTGCAGACACTCATTATTGTACCAGTTTCCAGCTCCTCGAAGAACAAGCTGCCTCTGCTACAGCCAAATACTTCAAATTTTGATTCATCAGTCCACAGCACCTGCTGCCATTTTTCTGCACCCTATGTCTCATGCATAGTTGAGTTGCTTAGCCTTGTTTCCATGTCAGAGGTATGGATTTTTGGCCAATTCTTCCATGAAGACCACTTCTGGCCAGACTTCTCTACACAGTAAACGGGTTTATCCCACTGGGTCTGTGCTGTGCTGTGCTGTGGTACAGTTTTTTCTGCTTCTTCAAAAGAGCACATCTTGAAACCCAAATCTGCTTTGGAATCTTTGCCCGAGAGAGACAGTAGAGTCTGGCTGTTCCTCACCCAGTTTTAAGCCTTTTACACAGCTGCTTCTGTTTCAGTTGATGTCTTTATTTCAACCTACATATGAAATTGATGATCATTAGCGCCAACTAATGGTATAGTTGATGAATTGGTTACACCTGACTCTAACCCTACAAAACCCCTGACATTGTGAAAGTGTACAAAGTGTGCAATTGTAAGAACTGATGATGCTGGTTTGTAGCCAAAGGGTAGTCACACCAAGCATTGATTTAATATTTCTTCTGCTGGCTCATATTTTTGAACGCTTTCTTACTTTACAGCATTTCTTCACCTGCCTAAAACATCTGCACAGTACTGTGGATATACATTATCTATCTATATATAGATAGAGAGAGAGAGAGAGAGACACACAGACTGGTCAGCCATAACATTATGACCACTGACTGGTAAAGTGAATAACATTGATTATCTCATAACAATGGCACCTAAAAATTGGGTAGGATATATTAGGCAGTAAGTGAACATGCTGTCCCTGACGGTGATGTGCTGGAAGCAGAAACAATGGGCAGGTGACTTTGACAAGGGCCAAATTGTACAAATTGCAAACTGGTGACAGGGTCATGGCCAGCCAAGGCTCATTGATGCATGTGTGGAGCAAATGCTAGCTGGTGTAGATAGATCCAAATTGCTGGAAAAGTTAATGCTGGTTCTACAAGAGAGGTTTCAGTACACACAATGCATCACAGTTTTTTGTGTATGGGGCTGTGTAGCTGCAGACCGGTCAGGGTGCTCATGCTGACCCATGTTCACAGCCAAAAGGGCCTACAATGGGCACTTGAGCACCAAGCAATGGAAAAAGGTGGCCTGGTCTTAAGAATTCAAGAATGGTTTAAAGAACACCAGGCAAGTTTGAAGTGTTGACTTAGCCTCCAAATGCTCCAGATATCAAATCCAATTGGACATCTGTGGGCTATGCTGAAAGAAAACAAGTCCGACCCATGGAGGCTCCACCTTGCATCTTACAGGGCTTAAAGGATCTGCTACTGGCGACTTGGTACCAGATACCACAGCATCATTTCAGGGGTCTAGTGGCGTCCATGCCTTGTGGGTTATGCTGGGTGGTCATAATGTTATAGCTGATCAGTTATTTTAGAATATATACAGTACAACATTTATGTTCACAGATTTTAGAACAAATACCTTATTTAATTGCTTGCCACCACTCTGTACTAGTTTTGGTTGGCATACATTTGCAGCAAATAAAACCATACTGTTACACCTTTGAGAGAAGAAATAAAAAATGGGAAGGCAGTAGGAGCATTGCACATTTCATGGGTATATAATATCTTCCACAATACCCCCAAGTCCCTAATACAAATAATAAATTAGAAGGCAGACTTTTTAATTTTACAATATAAATCAAAAATTGTCAATTACTGCATAATTGCTTAGTCCTTGGAAATGCAAAGGTGTTGGGTAATGGAGATGCAAGGACAGTACTGGAAGCTTAAATCTAAACGGTATATCTGTGTTATTATTAGGGCACAATTACATGAAGTGCATGCAAGACTCTGTCAAGTAAATTAAAGTTCATTGAGTGCAAATTACTTTTTTCAAAACTCTCTGTTACTTTGAAAAAAGCTAAAAAGTGCTATAAAATAGTCCGACACTTCATCACTGCAGGTCTTACTGACACCTCAAACATCAAATGCCATTTTCAGTAGATCATTGGAACAGTTGGGTCATTCATCATTCTGCATAATATGCTTCTTTCAGGGCTGAAAAGAAATTGCAAATGTTCAACTGCACCATAATGATAATCATGATGAACCCATTGGCAATACTACATTCATTTTCTGAAGAAGAGACCTTGGGCTGACAAGTGATTTACCAGCATTAACACTACTTTGTACAACAATTCCTATATAGTATAGACATGCTGCAAAATGTACAAAATGCTTCTTCGCAAGACAAATATTATGCCGGTATCCGTATCATCCAGTAATGTCATTTTTGCATTTTCTTTTCACTATCTTTTTAAACAAAGTTGAAGATAAAGGGGTTGCATTACTAAAGGAAAATAGACTGTTCACTTTTCAAGGGAATTTCCCCCTGAGCCTAGTGTATGCCGTGAAATTTCATTTTCATATTCTCCAGGTGAATGGAAAATTGTAAAAAGATACTATTTTTGTTTGCACAGGAATGGCTGATGGAAGTTAGCACAACTTCATCCTTTTTCACTAAGCTCTGGGAAGAATTCTCTTGCGAAGTTCAAATTCCCTTGTAAAGTTCAAATTCTCTTGCTAAGTGAGCAGCCTATTTGCCTTTAGGAAATTAACCCTAGAGTATCTATTTGTTACAACAGATGTGGCCAGGGGCGGACTGACCATTTGGAAACTCGGGCATTGCCTGAGGGCCCGGGGTCAGTAGGGGGCCCCATGAGATGCCCCTGGTACCTTTTTCATAGGCTTTTTTGAGTTTGGGCAAGGACACAGGGGCCCCATGATCCCCTATTGCCGGGGGCCCCATGAGTTGTCACTCCGCCCCTGGATGTGGCACAGAAGCATGTCTTCATAGTAGTTAGCACTGTGACTTTGCAGTATGAGTGTTCAGGGTTAAATTTCTGCCAAGAACACTATACTATAGGCCTAAAACTGGAGACTGAAAATCTGCACAAGCAACCAATCAGCTTCCAGGTTTTATTGTCACAGCTTAATTGAACAAGCTGAAGTTAGAAGCTGATTGGCTAACCATGCACAGCTGCACCAGATTCTGAGTGCTCCAGTTTTAGTAAATCTCCCCCTATGTTCTATGTTTGAAGTTAGTTCTGTGGGTTTTTGATGCAGTCCTAAAACAAATACAGTTCAGACAGAAATTTGACACTAGTAGTGTTGAGCACAAAGAAAACCTATAGTATAGGGAAAATTCATTCCCCTCATGCCTTGACTTCTAAACTTGACCTAACCCTCTAGTTCACTTTAAAGTGTTACTAAACCCACAATAGTAAAATCAGTTTGTATATACAGTAAAGCATGCATTGTGTAAAAAGGATGTTTGAGCCTTTCTTCTCTGATCCTCCCCTTCTTCTACTGTCCCCAATCCATCTGGTGATAGGACAGAGCCTTGGGGCAAGCTTCACATGCTCAGTTTGGTGTGTAGTGTGTATTGCTAGAGTGTTTTTTTTTCTTGGGAGGGTGCACGTGTTCAGCACAGGGCCAAATCAGAGCTGTCCAGATAGAGCATCTGGGATTATATAGCCTCATAGGACAATCAGGGGAGAATGAAAACCACTCCTACAAGCTTTAAACAGTGCTCTTCTGGACATTGATAGACATCACAAGACTGCTCTAACTGCTGATGAGAAAAGCTATGTAGCAGTTTAGATTTATTAAAATAATTGCACTTCCATGTTCTGTGTACTGTGGGAGACCAGATATAGTGAAAGCAGGGTCCTGGGTTTAGTAACACTTTAATCTTTCAGAGGCAAAAGACATAAATTCTTGACCACAAAAAAAAGAATAAGGTGAAGTCAGATAACATCAAGAGAAAATGCTCTAGAATTGCTAGAAAGCTTCCATGATTTGTAATCAACTGTATGTTGCTCTCTGAAGCATTTACCAATCTTCACCAAAAAGATTAATAATAAAAGATGAAAACCAACAAGAGAAAACCAGGAAAGAAAAACAGGTCCAAAGCAGAGGACATCAAAGTCCATCATAACAGAATAAGCAATTAGTATCAGTTTAAAGTCCAACCATGTCAGTTGAGCCATGAGGAAACCCCAAACCACTTGAAGACTGTCCACCAGTGGAGGGATATAACAACTCTTGGTATGCAGAGGAGCAGGCAAAACAGTCCATGGATACGAGGTTTTGCAGATTTATTCTTCTCTGTTGTGCAAAAAGGACATATTTTCAATATCTGTGACTTTGGCTAGCCACATATACTGTAGATTGAGCATGGTGACAGGCTGCTTCCATAAGGTTGGAATGCAGGCTATGGCCACATTGAGAAGGTGAACCGTAAGTGAAGATTTGTTTCAAGTCAAAGGTACACTGATGAGATGGAATAATTCACTCCAAATTCTCCAAGGTACTCTGAAGTAAGCTATAGTCCAAATCATCACAATTGTTCCCAAAATGGCTGCACTTTTTTTTGAAAGCTCCAAAACACATGAAAGAATGACCCCTCATTCTGATTAAAGCTCCAACTACACCACCAATTTGCATACAACCTCATTTTGGTCTACTTACAATTATTTTTTAAAATTGTACATTCTAGAAGATTTAATAAATACTCACAGAAAACTCCAGTTGATCAGTAGCTACTTATATTAGCATCTATTTCTCCTACAAAAGGTGACAGTTTAATCTACAGCTCTCGTTGTTTCATGTTTCAGGCACAAGTGTTTAGGCAATATACAGGGGTTTAGGACAGAAAGCTATATTGGGACCATAAAGATGAAGGCCCAGAAAATAAAGTCTTCACATTACTAGCTGTGTGGCAATAAGATCTATGCGAGCAGTGTACTCCAACAAACCCTATGACTTTAGGGCACTATCTATATAGGACGTCTGATTTCACATAAGAATTCTAATTTTATATTCTATTAAAGTGTATTCCAGGGCAAAATGTAAAAAGAGAAGTACATCTCTGCAAAACATACTTATTTTCATGTGTTTCATCCCTTACAAGACCCTGCAAGTACAAAAATACCTGTCAATCTGCCAGAAATTCAGTCAACTCGTAAGTCCATTGTATGTATATGTATGAATGTGAGTTAGGGACCTTAGATTGTACATTCCTTGAGGGTTAGGGATTGATGTGAATGTACAATATATATGTGTAAAGCGCTGCGTAAATTGACGGCGCTATATAAGTACCTGAAATAATAAATAATGTGTGGGCTGAGGATACACTGCAGTTTTGTGATTTGTGCCTTGCCTACTCAGACCCTCCCACTCTCCCATCTCCATAAAATAAACACTAATCATTTATAGTCCCAAGATAAAGATTGGGAGTACTTATTAGTGACCTTGAGATAACAAAAGAATTGTGCGCGGTACAGCTCTCAACTTTTGTCATGATCAACAGTTGTGCTTTCAATAAAATATTTAGACCAAAGGCAAGAAATTATGGGAAGCTCATTCTTAGGGTTTACATATACTTTAACACATTCAAAAAATTTCAAATTGTTTAGTTACAATGAATTGCAGCAAAGCTTCCAAAGTAGGACTTTATTTGCTGACCTCCAGGGCAGTAACAAATTGCAATTTGAACAAGCATTATTTGATGCACTTGCCTAACTCTTAGCATGCTTGAACACTACTTGGCTTAGACCGGCTCCCACAAATAGCGGTCACATATTTCATCTCAGACATAATTGCTCTCTATATATTCACTGACATTTTGATGAATAGAGGACCCTCCTTGGATTCTCCTTAAAGTGTTTAAGTTGTGACTAGTGGTCAACAAAGTGTACATGAGTATTGATGCCTCCATTTATCATAGAAAATAATGATTCAAACCGGTCCTTGGAAATAAAAGAGACCCTTACATTTTTAGTAGGAATTTAATTTTATACACGCTAACACAAAAAAAAAAATCACAGTACAAAATATAGGTAATATGAAAAAGAAAATCAACTGAAAGTAAATAAATATATTTTAAACATTCTTTTTCAAATGTCAAGAAATTGTAAACGTTCTGAAAACAAGTTACAATTTGGATCTAAGTGAATCTGATTATGTGGTCCCTGGGGTAGTAATATCCCTGAGAGGTGCTCTGAGAAGCGCTTTAACACATGCCAGGAGGCATCTTAGGGGTTTCTTGCAATATGGCAGGTCATCAATTTCTATATGTATGAACTGGTGCAAGATTCATAATGTAACTTGTGGACAGTGTTCTTTATAATACATCCTTCTATGTATGCACATAAGCAGATTTCTTAAAGGGGTACAGCATATCAATTTTCCAAGTATAGTTTCAATGTGCAAAGTGAACTTTCACTTCTCTTAGGAAATGAGGTGAAATAAAGTGAAGATTGACTTTGCAAATAATACCTAGCCATGTGCACATGATTGGATGATTAAAGCCAACACAACTTTATTCCCCTTGTTATTTTATTCTTTTTTTTTCTACTGGGAGTGGAGGAAGAGGAGCTTTATTGGAATAACTGGACAGACCCTTGATATTTCAGTTTTGAAATATAAGGAAAGATTTGGGGACAACGTCCTCAATCCCTTCGTCTATTGCAGCCGCAGCTGCACTCAATCACCGAACAGGAAGTGCTCTATACAAAGCACTTCCTGTTCATTCACAAAAGAAAGAGTTAATATGATTGGCCCTATTTACTGTGTTATCAAGTGGCCTACAGCAGAGAGAAGGTCTTTTCTTGCGGCTTCAAGGGCAACTTTAAAAATACGCAAATCCTTTAACAACTTGCCCTCCATGAAGATTTATCCCCCTTCCTGACCAGACCATTTTTTGCTATTTGGCGCTAGTTTAACTGACAATTGCTCATCATGCAATGCTGTACATAAATTATATTTATGTCCTTTTTTTCACACAAATAGAGCTTTCTTTTGGTGGTATTTGATTACCTCTGGGGTTTTTATTTTTTGCGCTATAAACAAAAAAATACCAAAAATGTTGAAAAAAACTACATATTCTCATTTCTAAAAAATATCCAATAAACTAAACAATTATAAACATAAAGTGTTGCACTTCTTAGCTCACTTATTAATAAAACCAAATAATAATGTGAACATAAATCAATACAAAATAATTAATAAAAATCATAAAATCAAAAAGTCTCAAATAGTGATTTGTTCAACTTGAATGTGTTTCATATTTCATCTCTTCATGTCATTTCATCCTCCACCAAAAACAATCATTAGATGTGCCCTCACCTGGAGTTTTTGACCACACATAAAGTTAGGTCAAAAAACACGTGTCCCTTGAAGTGGAAATACAACAACCGATGTATCCTGGTAATGGAATATTCTTCCACAGATCACCACTCTCCTTAATCTCTCCTCCCCCACTTAGCATACATAGTGAAAAAATATATAGAACACAATAGTGCTTTATCCTTTTAAAAACTCTATTTTATTAAAACATAAAAATTGGTCACTCACATCATAAAGTTGCTAAATCACACCAGATATATTGCACATAAATAGCCAACAATGTTCATATACAGGCAATCAAAGATCGGTTCCATTAATCTGAAATGACACTATGGGTGAATTGGTGTATCAAGAGTGTTGTGATGTCATCAAGCCCCTCCCCTACGCATTGAGCCACAGGGTCACTTGGCTTCCTCAGGGGGATATGAATGCTGGCAGATTGAATCAGGCAGGCATCATCGTGGTATAACCACTCAGTCAGTCCAGTGATGTACCAGTATGTCGCTGGTCCTTGTTGGGTATATATGCTATTCTACTTTTTATCCTGTGGGAAAATTCTGCCAGAAAAAGTGTGTGGTATGCCTACCATTAGAATTACTGCCCTGCATCCACTCACTTCTAATGATGGGCATGCATGAAAAAAAAACTAACATATTCCTCTAATCACATCGACTGATGTGGATGAAGAAATCTCTGCCAAATTTTTTTTTAAAAATATGTCTAAGCATAGGGGCGAT